AAAACCCAAACCAAACCCAAACCAAGACCACAATGATGGGAGTCTGTCAACAGGACATAAGATCTGACTTTAAAAACTCCCAATTTGGAGTTGGAACAATATGAGCAACAAAGTAGTACTGGATTGTAATCCAAAACAAAATAAATATCCATGAATCCATACTGATATAAACAAATGATTGTATAAACAAATGAGAGAGAAGAGATAAATCTGTACAGATTTACAAAAAGTGTATATAGATGCTCCAGCTCAACAAAGTAGAACATAAATCTCCACTCCTTAAGTGTGAGTTGTGCATAGCTGCTTACCTCCAAGTATAGTATAAGGAGAGGGAGGGGAAAAGGAAGAATTTTATTGTTTAAAAAAAAAAAAAAAAAAAAAAACCTAACTACCTCAACCAAGTGATTAAGGTTAACATCAACAGTGATAAATCAATCACATTGATAATATGGACTCAATATGTTGTGATAAAAATGACTCTTTACCTCTGTGGTCTTCTCCAAAACATATAACCCCAATCTAATAATGGATTTTGTATTGCACAAAATACCTGGCCAGTGTTCTCCAAAACTGTTAAGATCATCAAAAACAGGCTGAAAACTTGTCACAAACAAGAGGTGCCTAAAGGGACGTGACTACTAAATATAATGTGGTATACTAGATAGGATCCTGGAACAATAAAAAGGACGTTTGGTAAAAACAAAGGATGTCTGAATAAAGTATAGACTTCAGTTAATAACAATGCATCAACACCGGTTCATTAATTTTGACAAACGTACCATTCAAACATAAGATAGTAATAATAGGGGAAAGTGGTTATCAAGTACACAGAAACTTTGAACTATCTTTGCAATTTTTCTGTAAATCTAAAACTGCTCTAAAATAATTATCTAATAAAAATAAATTATAATATTTAACATACAGATTAACATCAGAAGTCTCATTTTGTCCCAGTGCAACCCAGTCACTCTTATTTATGGTACATGTGGTGGCCTGAGAAAATGAAGGGGTCTGCATGTAGAGAAGCTGACAGTGGAGGCCTTTCAGCATACTGCTATGTACTGCAATTTACATGTGTTCTCAGCTGAGTAGTTTAACTAAACTAACCCTTAAAGGATACATACATAGTTTCAAATATGTCAGGCCAAAAAAAAAAGGTAGAATATATTAATAACGTAAGCATAGGCAAAAAAGCAAAAATGACATTTCTCCCATTCCTATTGTTACCAGTCACAATATGAAGTTAAAAATAATGGTGTTTTTAACTAATAGGATCTGACCAGAAATAGGCCAAAAAAATTGTAAAATTATCAAGAGGCCTATCAGCCCTAATCGAATGTTTATTAATGTAATAAATAAAAGTTAGATACATAATATATGAATTTTTAAAAAGTAGTTAAATAAGGAGAGGCAGTGATGGATTTATATCCACTATTATTAGCAATAGACCCTAAATATATACTTCAAGATAATAGCTAATGATATTCTGAAACCTTCATAATTAGCACAATATATATTTAGATAAACTTTTATCATTTTTAGTGATGTTTCAAGTCATGCTATTCCCAATCTAGTATTTTATGACATTTCACAAAAGGTAATGACAAATATGTAGAAGTCTTTACATTTTTAACCTGTCTACTTACATGTAATTGTCAGATTATGTTTTGAAAATGAAATACTGAAAAAGATATTCTCAATATATGCTCAATAGCAAACGACTTCATTAATGAAAATAATGCTTTAATTAAAATTGTGAAAGTGTAACCACTGAAAAAGCAGTGTAACCACTGAAAAAGCAGTCACTTGATTAGAACTGAGGTAAGGTTTAAGGGTTGGTACCACACATGAAATTCATTTTCTCCATCATTCAAAGACAAGCTATTGTAGAAAGGCAGATGAGTCCAAAATGTACCAGCTACAGGATATTGCTGATATGGTTAATTTCATAGCAACAAGATCTTTAATAAATAGAGAAATATTTACAAACTGTAATGAGAGGTATAGCAACCAAGGCACAGTATGTAAGTGATTTAGCTCCAGAACTGGATTGCATGAGCTACAATACTGGCAATAGAATTTATTAGCTGTGATACCCTGACATGTTACTAATCTAAGAATTACTATCATCTATAGAAATGAGAATGATAATAGTCTCTACCTCACAGAATTAGTAGAAATATTGCAAGAGATATTTTACTACAGCACTTAAAACAATGCTTGGCACATGGTTAAGTACTCAGTAAATGTTAACTATTATTAGCCATCATGAGAGTAATCATGAAAATCTTTTCCACCACAACAAAATTACTGATTATCTTTTGGCAAAGAACTTAAAAGTTATCAAACTTACAGATGAATTACACATTTTTCTTTTACAAATAAATAAGACTTCTAAATTTGTTGGCTTGTTTGGGATATTTTATAAAGACTAAGTGAGGTCTTTGAGAATACTCTATCAATATCTCCTGCTTAAAGGTTATACTGATAATATTGGCCACAAACAGCTAACAGAAAATACTTCACAGAACTCAGAAACAGTATACATACCCTCAAATCAGGAGAAAAGTTGTCTGAAGTTGAAATGGAATCCGATGATACAACAGAAGCTGATTTTGTATGCACTGAATTCTCTGAATGAGAAGTGGAAGCACTACAAAATACAAAAGCACAATATGTTTGAAAAATAGGGGCTTTAAAAAAACAATTCCAGAAATTTTAACTCCATTATTTATGAAAACTTCCATTGCCAATTAGTCCTACTTTGCCTACCCAATCTTATCTGGAAATACTGATAAATTGCAACTCTCTATTCCTGAAGGGTTAACTATTCTTACTATCCACACTCCCTCTGGAAAGACTTCCCCAGTACTCATGAAAACAGTCCTGGCTAATTCTTTTTATCTAGCTCATCCATTAATTCATCCAATGAACACTCACTGAGTGATCCAATGAGAAAAACCATTACACCAGGAGCTATGATTTAGAGATAAATATAGCATAATCATCATGTTCATGAAGCTCACAAGCGTGTGGCAGAGACAGTCAAGTAAATAAATGGTGCAATATAATAATGACTCTGACCGCACGCACAGACACGTGCATGCACACACACACACACACAGGGGGTGGGAGGGGGAAAGAGACAGAGAGAGAGGACACAAACATACAGTATGACCTAGGAAGTTAAGGGAGGACTTCACAGAGGAGGTGATATTTCAACTGAGTCTTGAAAGACAGAAAATTGCCAGGCTGCCAAATGAGTAAGGGAATGCCAAAAAGAAAAGAAAGCACTGCAAACAACAGAATAATCAAAGTGCATACAACATTTGAGAAACTGCATTTGGTTCAACAGGGCTGGATGAGCAGAAGGTAAAGCTGGAAGGACAAGCCTGTCTTTGTACATTGTACCTTTCCACCAAATCAAATTCTATACTTTTAACAAGCCTATCTTAAATATCCACTTCTTCCATTATACTACGTAATCACACTCTACAGTTACTTTTATTCTCTTACATTCCTAGAGAACTTTCGATACCTGATCACATACTGCCTTTTATTATTGGTCTCAGGTATATATTTTGTCTCACCAACTAAATTTTAAGTACCCCAAAAGGGAGAATTGTGTCTTTGTTTTCCATAAAATCTACTTTAGTGCCTGCATATACTGTTAATATGTATTATGTTTGCTAAATTCAAAAATATAGTGATGATATACCTATGCCACAAACTGAATGATTTACATAATTTCCTTTTATCAGTAAAAGAAAATTAAGATTATTTAAGGCAAGAAAAATGGTGGAAAACTCTCACGCACTTTGAAGCTTAAAATACATATTTTTCTAAAGCCTAATTCCCAATATATTGTCTTGTCACACCAAAAGTCAAAGGTTTTTCATTAGATTTTGATGAAATGATCTATCTTGAGGTTATATTTAAGAATCACATTTTCATTTTAAAATCTGTCTACCATAAGCCTGCCTATAAGTAAATTATTTTTACAATGTGAAAATCAACTCCTCCACAAGAAATTTTCACTTCATTTTTGTTTTCAGCTTAAGATATGATTGATAAAAATTATATTTAAAGTATACAACATGTTTTAATAGATGTATACATTGTGAAATGATTACCACAATCAAGCTAATTAAAACATTCACAGCCTCATAGTTATCATGTGTGAGTGTGCACACAGTGAGAGAATTTGAGATCTACTATATCTTGGCAATTCCACGTATACAATAAAGCATTACTAACTTCAGTCACCATGCTATACATTAAGTGTCCAGAACTTATTTACTTTATATCTGAAAACTGTCCCTTTTGATAAATATCTACCTTTTCTCCCTATCAGAAATGTGGTTTGAAAATATATTCTCCCATTGTCATTTTGTTGACTGTTTCCTTTGCTGTACAGAAACTTTTTAGTTTGATGTACTCCCGCTAGTGAATATTATTTGCTAATAGTATCAAATCCAAGAAACCGTTCTCAAGACCAATGCCAAGGAGCTTTTCCCCTGTTTTCCTCCAAGAATTTTACAGATTCAGGGCTTACATCTAAATGTTTAATCCATTTTGAGTTGATTTTTGTGTATGGTGTAATATAAGGGTCCAATTTCATTCTTTTGCATGAGATATCCTTTCACAAACACCATTTATTGAAGAGTCTATCTTTTCCCCATTGTTTATCTGTGGTGCCTTTTTCAAAGACAAATTGACTGTATATGTGTGGTTCTTTTGGGGGGCTCTCTGTTCTATTCTACTAGTCTATGTGTCTGTTTTTTTCTCCAAGTACCATATTGTTTCGATAACTATAGCTTTGTAATACAGTTTGAAGTTAGGAAGTATGATGCTTACAACTTTGTTTTGTGCTCGATATTGCTTTAGCTATTTGGAGTCTTTTGCGGTGCCATACTGATTTTAGGAATGTTTTTTCTATCTGTAAAAAAATGTCATTGGAATTTTTATAGAGAATGCATTGAATCTGTAGAGCACTTTGGGTAGCAAAGACATTTTAACAAGATTAATTCTTCCAAACCATTAACATGTGATAACTCTTCATTGATTTGAGTCTTCCTTCAATTTCTTCCATCATTGTTTTACAGTTTTTTTGTACAGGTTTTTAACCTCCTTGGTTAAATTTATTCTTAAGTATTTCACTCTTGATGTGACTGCAATGGAAGTGTTTTCTTAATGTCTATTTCAGAGAGTTTGTTGTTAGCACATAGAAATGCATTTTCTTCAACGTGATTTCTTCATGTTGATCTTGTATCCTTCCAATTTCCTAAAATTTTATTAGTTTTAAGTTTTTTGTTAGTCTTTATAGTTCTCCATATATAAGATCACGCCATCTGCAAAATGTTTTTACGTATTTATACAATATTAAAACCATCTCCCCCAAAAGAAATTCACTTAAATGGATGAAATGGTATTCCAATGGAAACATTTAATATTTTTTCAAATACAAGTATCTCTTTATTTTATTAACTATTTCAAAGTATGATCATGGTTATTTATGTCCAATAATCTATAATATTATAATATTATACAAAGGAGCAACCATAAGAAGTTCTATTATATAATTTTACAATGTAATGAAAGAGAAATTAATAGGCTGAGAATGTTTTCTTTCTCTGTTGTAGCCAACTTCTGACTAAATGCCATCTGTGTTAAAATAAACAAACTTTAGGCACAGTATCTTGAGGGAGATTGTTTCCTACTTACTACTCCATATATATATATATATAGCATATATATATATATATATATATGCTTTTTTCTTCCTTGACTTTGATCGGGACAGTTTGTGCCCAGCCCAAGATAACATTCTTGCTTTTGGCTCCCTTGTGGCTAAGAGAACCATGTGAAACAATTTTGGTCAATGAGATGTAAGGGTAAGTCTGTTGATGGTTATAGGAACCTTTATTCTTAATAAAGGAGAGCAGAAACAGCAAGGTAACCCTTAACATTTCCCACTTTCTTTGCCTGGTACAAGAACATAAAGCTTAGAAATACTGTAGCGGCCATCATGTAAGCATGACCAACATGCTGGCCTGCTAAGGCCAGGGAGCCAAACAACAGGAAGAATATAAAATCCTCATAATACCAGTAAGCAGCTGAATCCACACCAACAACTCCCTACTTATGGAATTTTTGTCATGTAAAATAAATGGAGCTCAATTTTTAAAATCATTGTAATGCAGTTTTATATTCTGTGCAGCCAACCAAACACCATTCTAAGTGATATAGCAATCAATACCACATAAAGTATATTTTGGGCAAGTTCAAATGTGTAATTCTACTTTTTATGCATGTAACCTTCTGGGAGAACAGATAAAAATCTTAAAGGCAATGAAACACAATTTGGATTATTGCTTAGAAAAATAATATTGACAGAATATTATAGCATGTACTACTAAAATCAAATAGTTCTTTAGAGCCAAAGTGTGAGTAAATAAGTCTAAGAAAAATAAACAAACCAGGTTCTTTAACAAATACTTTGCAGTCTCAGATTCAGAGAATCAATCTTTCAAACAAAAGTATGGCAAATAGCCTTTAATTATTACCTTTTACTTTCACTCCCGCATAAACACAAGCGGATATCATGATTGACAATGTTATATCTGAATAACCATTATTGTGTTTTTCAATATAACCAGTCTACAAAAGGTCTTAAACTCTAGGCAATCACCGAGATACTGGAAAGGACAGGGTTGGGGATATATCACAGTACTGTTCTTGTGATTATGGCAGGCAGAAGCATGAGCGCACGCACACACACAATCTCAGTAGAACTATTGAGATTCTACTGGTATAAACATGAAGTGCTGCCTTTCGTGGCTACTCAGACTGAAGGTGGGCAAAGACACCTAGAACCGAGCTCTATTTTTAGTAGTTATTTTTTCTTCTGTTGCATGGGCTCTTTGCATGTTTCTGATTGCCAAGGGCTGCTGGTATAACACAATCTAATTTCCACTGCTTTTTTCCATTTCTCCCTTACTCATCTTGAGGTCAATGTTTACCTATGTTTACCTTTTATGAACTATTCCACAAACAAGCTCTGTATTTCCCGGAATTCATACCTTTGCTCATGCCATTCCAAAACAGAATGCCTCTTTATCCTAATCTATTACCTAAAATCCTATCCTACCTACTCCTTAAGACCCAGTTAAAAAGCTAGCTTTCCAAGAAGTTCTCCTCTCCGCCCCAGGTCTTTCAGCTGAAATTAAGTTCTCATTCCTCTACACTTTCACACACTTCTGTCTATACTCTACAACTGCTCTTAACACTTTCCACATTAGACTAGAGCTCTTTAATTATATGGCTACCTCCTTTTTAAATTATGAACTGCTAGAGTATAAGAATCTTATAACTGGCAAGAGCAAAGACTGCAGTCTGCTAACCTCATTAAGTAGCCACTACAACTATGGTCCTCAGTTTTCCTAGAACCATAAACTTTATTAAAGTCAATCCGAACATTCCTGTTATTCTTGTCATCTTGAGCCACTCTTCAAATATGCCAGACCTCCTAGTCCGACTATGTGTTTCCTTCATCCATTTTCCCTGTACAAGTCTTCCTTCAGCTATTAACTCTTCCTAACCTTTATACTTGAATTCTTTACTCCATAGTGAATAAATTCCCTTACATCTTCA